CCCTCGCCGCGCCTGGTGGTGTGGTGGACGCTGCTGGTGCGGCTCTCGGCGCGGTAGACGACCTCGACGTCGCGGGCGCGGCGGTGGGCGCGGCGGCGCCGGGGCCGGAGCAGGCAGCACCACACCAGCATGACGATGAAGAGGAAAGCGGCCACGGAGCCGACGATGGCGCCGATGTAGTTCTCGCCGCCCGTCAGGCTGGCCGTCGGGCCCGGCAGCGTCGGCCCCACCGGCGCCGCCGACTGCGTCGCATCGGCCTGCGCCGCCTGCGCCGCAGCCGTCGCGGTGCTGGGGATCGGCTCCATGAGCGCGCCGAAGGCGAAGGGGATGGTGGTGGTCGTCGTCGGGGCCGCGCTCGAGGCCTCGGTCACTACGGCGGAGGCTGCGGCGGCGGAGGTGGTGGTGGCGTTTGATGTGGGGGTTGGCACGGCGCTGGCGCCGGCGCCAGAAAGGACCATGGTTATGAGGGTGGTGAGGGGGCGCGTGCCAGGTGTTTGGCGCAGCCGGCGCGGCCTCGAGTCGTCATCCTGTGCGAGTTTCGCATTGCGCGCGGCGCGGGTGGGTGTCGATTCCCCATGTTCCTGCGCTGGCCATAAAAGCGACGGCCTGACCCCATCTTCTGGGGAAAGTAGCGGCATGGCCAAGGCTAACAGCGCTTCGGCGAGAGGAGACTTGAATGTGCAAAAAAAAATAGCCCAAACAGATGTTGTCGCAAATCGTACGGGATGTATGATGGAAAACGTCGCCCGCAGTTCAAGAAACGAGCCCAGCAGCGTCTCCCGAGGGGGCGGGCATGCACGCCCAATCTGCAAACGTGCTGGCGCAAGCGATCAAGCGCCCTGCTCCCCTATTGGGCTTGGTATGGAGGCGGACCAGCCAGTTAGCGGTCGAGTTTCGGTGTCGGAGCGAGGGAGAGAGGGAACGGCCATGCAAGGAAGCGGGTGTTAGTGACGCAGGCAGGCGGGCAAGCGACCTGACAGGTGTTTGACAGCGGGAGATGGTTGACAAGCGCTTGACAGGCAAAACAAGGATATGAAAATTCTAGAGAATCCAAAAGATCAATCCAGAAGATCAAAATTGGATGGGCTACGAGAAGGTCGGTGTGGCCTTCGCGGGGTCTTATCGCTTATGCCGTGTTGGGCGGCTGACCTCTGCTCCAAGACTGCTCGGTGCCTTTTCACCAAAATGATGGATCCCTATGGATCCCTTCCACACTCCGTTTGTCCCGCGTTTCGTGCCGAGATATCGCAGCACCACCAGCGCCACCGGATTGGACAAACGATTAACGGCCCCATCGCCACCTACCTGCAAATTGTTTAGGCAGCCCTCCGTCGAGTCGCCCTGTCCGCTCGTCTGTCCACAATCGCGTCAGCTTAAATCATCCGGCGCATGGCAGCCAGCCTGCCCAGATCCAACCACGAACTGTGGGTGTTGCCAGTCCTCTCCTGGTTGGCAGCGCCCCCTCCTTTATGACTCCTCATCGTGCATGCATGCCCGGAGACAGCCCGAGGTCAGGCGGTCAAACGTCTGCATCCTGCCGCGTGTCCGACGGCGGCACAGCATACCTAATCCCACCAACCTTGCTGCTCCAAAGCACGTCTCCGGCCTCGCCACGGGTGTTTGCCCGCTTCTTTATCTCTTGTCCTTGGAAGCTTTCAGAGCACGGGTTACATCTTCTCGTGCGGCACTAGCGGCAAATCGAGCACCATACCCTCCCCCGTCTGTTCATTCACTCGCCTTCCCAGCCACCTCAATTAATATCCCGCTGCCAAACGCACCCAACCCGACATCAGCACAACTGCACCAGTATGCGACCAACGATTGCACCCCCTTGTCCATTCCATCTGCAGACTAAATTTCATTAGGCCTCCATGGCAGAATCGTCGACCTGGTCCAGACAATGACTGATGACAACTCTATTGCCCTAAGCTTCCCGGCCTCGTTTTTAGTTTATTATAAAGCGGTTTTGTCTCTAATGGCCTCCACTTCTCATGTTCCTGCTCCTAAGAAATGCAAAACCTAAGGATTGACTAGCATTCAGGCTAATCAGACAGACGTAGCAATCACACCAGCAACCAATACGACCATGGCCGCAAGCATGCCCTCCCCAACTAACCCTCATCTTAACGGGACAGTCTTGGCGCGAGTTCTCGACACATGACGAGGTGGGATGAGCTCGACAGAAACCCTGAAAGAGAGAGCCCGGGTCGCGGCGAATACTCGTACGGACAGGACAGCGACAACAAACATCAGCCCTGCAGCGATTGTAATTTATTTCCGTGGCCTGCATATACACTATTGCAATGAAGAGGCGCAAGTAATAACCCAAATTGTTCCTGGAATTCATCTAGACAAACCAGCGGGAAATCTGTTCAGAATGGGAGACTTTGGTGTCTGCATACTGGTGCTTCGTAGGAATATTGGGCACCACGGCCCCAAGACTGACCCGGTCTCGTAGATCCTTCTGGTCTCCTTATGGCATGAATCGGTTAGCACCATTGAAAATGATGCAGGGCTAGGAATTGTCGCCCAGATACTGTCATAAAGCATACAAATATGGCCAGAGGTGTCAACCATGAAAGATGAATAGCGAACGCTATGATCAACACATGTTAATACCGATGCGAGGAGAGGGCTGGCTTGACCTAGAACGACAAAAGTATCCCACACGCAGAGGCTGCTAGCCGGTTCGAAGCATGCCTTTTATGGAAGGATAGCGAGGCAGGTTCGGTGCCTTCACTTTTGCAGCTTGGGCTACCCACAACGGCACCTTGATCTCGATGGGTTTATTCCAATAGGATTCAATCTTGCCATATCAACGTGGGCCCATTGCGGGGGCTATGAAGGTGACGAATGTGTGTCGCGGGACAAACATTGAACAATAAAGGGATAGTAAACCTCGTGCGCGAAGTGGAGATTAGGATTGGAGTTTCTTTTGTATTATCTATTATCCGCTTAACGGGTCGTACCTTTTTGTCCACGATGAAATGCCCTGGATAGAGAGCGCTAGGTTGTCGCTGCTGCGGAGAGCCTGTCGGGTAAAAATCCCTGACTGTGGTTGCCTTGAAGGAGTGGACTATTGATAACCCGGTCGCAAAACCAGAACGAAGTAGAGCGGCGGCAGAGGCTAAAAAAACACTAGCACAGCATATATCTGTCTCAATATATGGTGAAAGGGTATTAACCATGGTTGCCGGAAGTAGGCACCGGTAACACCGGATGGCTACCGTGAGGAGGATCTGCGCACAAAAGATACTGTTGGCTAAAATATGGCTTTGTTAAAGTGTAAGCCTTTTACATACAGGGTACGCTGCTGTGTAGAACTGTTGATATTCTTGTTATTCCTAAAGTCCGGGTTCTTTGTCACGCAGCCAATAAGTCGTCCCCGGGGCTCTAGCGTTCTAAAGTAGTAACCCAAGATCCTACAAAAGTCGCATCAACCCATACACGTTGAACAAAAACCATTCGTACAAAGAAGAGCCAAAAGCCGGTTGGAATGCTATACTTTTCCCCCTGACCGGTCAAGCTAGCTTTTAAATCGCTGGCGGAGCACACATCCCTCACTCCTCCAACTACAGGTGGCCTGGTCATAAGCTCCTTTCCAGGCCTTCGAAACGTATCAACCTTTAAAATCTTCATTCTTAATTCTTTTTCACGGGAGAGTTAATTAAAGCCTTCTTTTTGTATCATTGCCTACTCATATGCTTCAAAGCAGAGGTGGAAACATCACATTCCAAGTATATTGCAATTTAAGGCTTGTTGAAGCATTTCTCCTTCACCATTTTCGCATTAGCAATGACAAAGAAACCAGCAGCCACCTCGACTCGAAACTGCAAAGCGCATGGAGGCGCAAATGCAGCTCGAGCGCTACTCTCCTCCGTATCAACATGACAATTACATGGATGACGTTGACCCCTATCGACCGCCACACATCGGCGATCAAGGCCCCTGACTGGATCGGATGGCGTAGGCGGCTGATCCAGAGTGGCGATTCGTCCGAGGCACCCTCATCTCGCTCCCTCAAATTTCCCAAAGTGGTATTCCTGACAGCCATCTCCCGCGATCATCAACGGGAGCCAAGAGCGCCCGAGCCAGCTGTCGTGTGTCTTCTCCTTAAGTGGTCGTGGTGGCTCAGAAAGGAGGGCCAGATGAACGCTGCCGCGACATCCGACGTCACTTCTCCGCATTTCACGAGCCAGTCGCGATCGCTTGTGATAACGACAGACTTCCATCTCCTCCTTACAAGTCGACCGGTGATTCGTCGAGGCGGCTAGGTCGGATCCTGACAAAACACCATCCCCCTTCGCTTGATGATGCATCCCGTGGCTACATAGAAAGCAAAGGAAACTTGTGCGAGCGGCGGAACACGGAGTACACATCTACGCGGATCAATACAGTGCTTTCTAGGGAACGGATGGGTGTTGGAGGGGGGTGTGCACGTACATGGCCTCTATGGTGCCCTTCGCGGGTTCGCGAAGGAGCGGGTAGAGAGCGGAAGCATTGGGGGCGGATTTCAAAGCAAGGCGGTCGGTAGTAGCACTGTCTGATGATGACCTACCCTGTTTGGATCACATTTCCCCCTCCCAATGGTTATGGGTAGTATTCCATGATATTTCCAGTGAGCGAGCCATGCCGGTTGCCCTCCATCACGACTCCCCCGCCTCCGCTTCACGCCGTCCCCGAGGGGAAACGATCGACGGCTGGCGTTGCACAAAAGAGGCCGCCAGTATAAAAAGTCAACACCATCACAGAAGGGCACAAACTCGTTCGTGCAGCAACACTGGTGGAGGGCAGTTAATAGCTGCTGCAACGAGGTGCGTCGTGGTCGCTAGGGCTGCTACGTCAGATCCTGTTTTGCCCCGCCTGATTCACCACCATGCTGGTGAGTGCCTGCTGCTCGCCTCTGCACCTCGCATTGCAGCTCAAGCAACCGGTCTGCACAAATGATATGCCGCTGAGCCACGGAAGACACCAGAAAGCGGGGAAGGCAAATGAAGGGTGGCATCCACTTTTGATAGAGAGAGAGAGAGAGAGGCCGTCACCCGAACACAAACGCCGCCGGCACGGCCGGGTGCCAAACTTGCCGAACCCATCTGTCATCTGAAGGGATCCTGGGAGACAAAATTAGCCAAGCTAACGATATTATTATGTATTTATTATTATCTTCTTGCGCTCACCGGTTTGTCTGCCCTCGGCATGTGTGCCATGTTGAGTTCCGACGACGGGGTTGCGCGAGGGGTGTGGCTGGGTGATGTCAGTTTGCCCTGATCTTGGCTTGGCCGAGTTCGATACGGTGCCTGGCACGCCTGGCTAGAACATCGTGTGTTTGTTCACAAGCTTCCAAGTTTTCAGCGATCCGTTCTAATGTGACTACGAGGGCCATCAAAGGGACTGATCGCCGGGCGGCACATTTTCCCATTCGCAGAAGGTGCTCTAGGCACACGCAGCGCTGGCGAGATGGAGGGCGAGGACGACGTCAAGGGCTTGGAACTATCCTGTTTTCCGGCTCTGATATGGCCCCCTCGGCGCAATGGGGAGGAGGGAATGGGGGGAAGACAGTGGAAGCGAATGGGAGTATTCACCGTGCCGGGGTGGGTGGTGGCGGGCTTGGGAAAAGGCCGTGGATTTGAGATGTGACAGATGCAGAGGGTCACTTTGCCCTTTTTACATCCGTCGTGCAGATTGTGGGGACCAGTCCCCTCCCGACATGCCCACCGGACGCGACGCAAAGGGTCTATCTTTGCCTGAGCTGTTGGACCCTGATCGGCGACATGTCTTGGAGGGTCCTACCTAGCCATGGCGAGGATGCTAAGACTAGTGACGACGGCTTGCCGAGCATGCCACAGGCTTGGGCTCGTCGTCATGGACCATCACCTTCCTGAAAAGATGATCCGGGCTGGATGTGCCTGCCATGGCATTCTACTTGTCGTCGGCTTGGGTAGACTTTGTGTGGGTAATGGTTCGAGGATGCACCCCAACGGCGCTTTCCAGATTTATGCGAGATTTGTTTCGAGAGAACTGGAATAGCACTTGATCCCGGAGTACAGCCTGGGGCCAAATGGCGGTATGCAAAAACTAAAGCCGCATGGAGGTGGATAAAGAGAAGGATGGGCCAGGAAAAAGATATACAAGGAGACGCGCCAGCTAGAGGTTTAGCTCGCTGGCCGAATGGGCCAGACGCGGCTGGGCCCGGCCCAGCGGGCATGCCCTGAACCCACCGCAAGTCAATAACAACGGGATAATGGAGCGTAAGCCCAAAGTTGATTGTCGAGCCCTCAAGGCGGGGTAAGGCGTACGCAAAGGATACAGGAGAACTGCGGACTTTCTGCGAGGCCTGGAATCACACCACCATTGTCCACGGGGATGTAAATGACAAACATCCACAGCGCATGCAGCGGCTTGTAGGTTGAATGGATAGGGAGCTCGCCTACCGAGAGTAGATGTTGCCCCCCAACTAACTCTGTCTGGTGTGTGGTCCGAAGGCAGTCTCCCCTTTTTTTTTCTCGCTGCCCACACAGCCCTCTCCTGAGAGCCTGCCGTTATCGCTCTGGCGGGCTCCGGAGAAAAGCAGGATGGAGCTGACGCCAAGCTGGGGTGTGAACTATGACTGCTTGGTCACATCCCGGAGGAAAAGATGTGGGTGATAGGGGACTCGTCTAAACTCTTGCCATCTTGCCGGTGGTTCCCCGCCCAATCCGCGTCTGGAGCAACGGCAAGGCGAGGAGATGAGAGGGCGTGTGGGTAGATGGACGGAGCAGGCGATGCTTCCGGATTCGCCTTGGATCTGAACCTGGAGCGCCCCCGATGTGATACGATATCAAGCCTCCGCTGCTCGGATGGATTGGATGGCTTCCTGTTGGTAATGATAGCATAAGGAATTGGACAAGGATGCAGGTGGTTGCGATGTCCAATCTCTCACTACCCCTCCATCTCTCAAGCCCAGATTGACACCGGTCAAGGCAAGTGTAGATTGCACCGTCAGGTGGCAGCCCTTGGGGCTTTTTTATTTATTTATTTTTATTTCTTCTGCCTTGCTAGCGGTCCGTCCCCACCCACGCCGACCCTTGCACACTTGGAAGTGGCGTTTGGTGATGGCGAGTGCCCAGGCCAGGAGCACGCACGAGTTTCGATTGACAGCTGGGGAGATATTGAGGCAAGGACGAGAGCAAGGCGCCACGTCTACCCGGATCCCCCCGCTCGATTCCGTAACACAAGGATCACTATAACCTACACGACATTTTGATCCGCTACCTCCCATGACTGCTTCCGTCTGGCAGCCGCCATCAAACGAACTCCAAGAAGTAGCCTTGACTGCACAACAGCACTGATGGGTCCTGATGGGGCCCTGGCTCTGATTCACATGCAAAAAAAAAAAGGATGAAGCAAAGCCCAAGAGGAAACGCGGCGTCTCTTGTCTGCAATGCCCCTCCCAGCTGCATGCAGGCACACACCCTCTGGGCAAACAGAATCCAACCAGTGGAGCTCCCTCGTCCGCCAGAGCCTGGCTATCTTGGCAGGTCGCGTCGCCGTCGTGGGTGGAGAGGCACTGCAAGACAACAGTCGCCACGGCTCCTGCAAAGCAACTGGAGCACCGAGGGTGGGAGGGGGAAGGCCCAGCAACGGCCACCCAGGCGCCAATCTGGTTGGTCGGCGGCGCTGCTTGGCTCAGATGCCGCAGTGTGTGCCCACCCTTGGCCTGCATTGCAGCGTCGCACGCATATGTGGGCGGTGGCTGCGTTGCAGAGATTGAAGATGCAGCAAAGCAGTCTGAAATAAAATAAAATTTTAAAAAGAATTAGAAGAACACGGCATGGGAGGTAGGTAAGGGATAAGGGCGAGCAAATTTGGAGGGCGAGGGGAGGTAGGAAGCAAGAAAGCCCTGCTTCTGCCTTGCTTGATGTCCTCTTTCACCCGCCAGCCTGTCGCAGCGATGGTCACCAACCACCCAACAACGCACCCCCAACCGTGGGAAAAGAAGGGTACTGTTGGGCTCCCCATCAGAGATTCACGCCTTTGGGGGTAATGGGTACCGTGCCAAGGGCCATTGATAACTTGGCCCTGCAGGTTCCAATTTGATGTCTCTCATCTATCCTGCGTCAAGGCCGAATACCACCCTTTTGTGGGGCTGCGAAAAACATCACTGATATGTACTTGCGCCTACCACATAGCACTACACCCATAAAAAGTAAAAAAAGAGAATAAGAAGAAAAAGCGGGCGGCAAGCTCCTGCACCGCTTTGTCTTGATGCTCTCGGGCCCGACCAGTGGTTGGGAGAGCCCCGCAGCCAGACCAGCTGCTGAAACTGTTGCTGGTGGACGCCCTCATCCCCTCTGGATGTGCACGCCACACCCCACCACCACTCCCGTCGCCATTACCAAAATATCTGCGTCGAAATGTTGGGCGATAGGCAGGTAGGGAGGGTGGATGGGGGTC